AGATGAAATGATCAATAGCATAATCAACAGTGAAGTAATTTTGTATTTAAGACCGATTTTGCAAATAAAGATAGCAATATAGCATTAACTATCAATGATTCATTTATTAATCCATAAGGTGGTGTGTTATCGTAGTTCGAGTGTTGACTTTCTCGCCACGGCGTGATTCTCGCTGCGCACGGACAGACGTTATCTATCATCTTCTGTAGCTCGTTGATACGCCGCGCACAGCAGTCCGCAGCACTGCCTAGCATCGCTAGCGCCACAGTGCGACAATAATCTTCGTCATCATGGTCCGAATCATAAATTGCATTTAATCCTCATGCTTTTTCTGTTGGTTTTATGATGCGACCAGCACGCATAATGACTTTGGTATGATTCTTCGGCTTAGAAGGAGACGGTTTGGGTGGACTGGCTTGTAAGTTTGAGTTGACTTGTAGCAGTTCTATCTGATATGGTCTTTCTTCATCGGTGATCTCTAGTGAAACTCATGTTTTAGACTGTAATAGGGCAAATTTAACATCCTTTGATTCAATGACAACCCCACAATTAGGGATATAGACACAGTATATTGTCATCGACTTTCCATAGCCAACAAATATACCTTTTTTAGTATGGTGTAGGAACTGCGAACCGGCCTTGCGCGCTTCTAAGCGGATATGCATATACACAGATTGTCTGAAAGGATGCAGATGGCAAATATACAGTTTCTTCTTGAATAATGCTTCATTCGGGGTGGTGAGTAATGCACGGTGTAGTGAAATATTTTTGGTATAAACAGCAACACTGATTGCTTCAGCCTATAATGGTAATTGGGTTGACATTGTATCATAGTGCGTGCACTTGTGACAATTGTACGCATGAATCATTCTGGGAGTCCATTACTTTCATGCGCATATGGAGGTGATGTTTGATGTAAAATACCTTCATCTATAAAGAATTTTTGAAGGTCATTTTCGATATATTCTCCGCCTCTATCTATACAAAACCATTTAATCCCGGCATTGAACTGAGTCTTGAGGTATACAACAAATTGGCGTATAACAGTTGGAGCCTCTGATTTCTGTTTGAGAAAGCGTACCCAAACAAATCTGGTAGCATCGTCAATGAAAATGATGAAGTAGCGTGATCCTCCAATAGACTTTTGGGAAAATTTTCCTGACAGATCAGAGTATATTCACTAAGTGGTGAGGCTTAATTAAATAATTCCATGATCTTTTCATTCAACTATTATATACTGGTAGGTTTGCGATAAGTTGACTTTAATAATTAACATGCTTCGCAATGGAAATTTTTTGGTTGAGCAGGAATCAGGTTACTATCTTTATAGAGTCAAGTATGGGCGCCAGCTTATATATGATAGTGTCTAATAGCTTGATGAAATTCATCGTACGTGCTGAAGTATGCAGAAGTAGTCAAAGCTTCATCAAGTTATATCTCCATGCTCCCCTTAATATGTCTTGCCCACATGACTCTTTCGCCCTGTTTTGTTAGGTATAGGTTGTCACCTTATCCTGACGTCGGATATATATCCAGCTGAAAAGTTAGGTACCATAAAGTTCTTTACTGTAAAGGACTTTAGTTAATTCAGTTAGGCGTGTTGAGCTATTAGGCAGTAGGCATCGTAAGCGAACTGTTCCTTAGCCATTAATAGGTAGCTTTAATCCGCCAGCTATAGTAATTATACTAGTCTGTGGTGATAGATTAGTAAAGTAATTAATACAGCCGGTCATATAGCGAGATGCACCTGTGTCAAATAGCCAAGCCGAAGGGTTCGCTTGTATGTTTTCAGGGGCAAGGGCAGTATATATGCTAATATTTTGGTTTATAAAAGAACTTAAAGGCGATATTGTTATAGCTGTAAAGGCAATAACATTAGTGTCTTTTTCATCATTACCTTCATCATCGCTAGTTGTGACTGCGGTTTTAGCAGTTTATTAGATTTGATTTTAATTATATTATTTGTTTTATTTCTTCTTGTCTGCAGATTTCTTCTCCTTAAGTCAGGCACAATTAGTGTATAAGTGGCTGGTATAAGAAAAGTTATGTTTGCGACACCAGGTATATTCTGGTATAGCTGCATATGGTGATGAAGAGTCCTTCTGTCGCTTCCATATTGTTCTTACTGCATGTATGGTAGAACCAACGTCATTTATGAGATGTTTTTCAGCAATATCAAGTATTCTAGGCTCTATTTGTGAAAAAGTTATCAAGTTCTGTGTGCTAAGATTATCTATAACATAATCCATGGTGTCTGGTAGCGTGGTAAGGAAGAATGAGCCGTTGATTTCATCTGATTCAAAGATTGGTTTCATAGCCTTTGCAACAGTATATTGTAAGGATATGCATCTTTTAGTCATGCATAACTAAAGTTAATAAAACTCATTGAGATAAGCACACAAGTCTTCTTCGTCCTTGTAACGAAGGTTGGTAAGGGTCCTAAACAGGTAGATTGAGGTGTTCCCAGTATCTCTATCGAACCGTTCAGCTAGGTAGTTCCATACATTTAGTGATGTGTCTCATATAGTGACCGATATCATTAGATCTTGGTGTGCTGACGACAACAGCATAACCATAGCCTTATTGTCTTAAGTGTCCCACTCTTCAATTTATACTAGTTGTGTTTAATTTGATGGCCGAGGTGTCTTTCCTGAAACAATAGCCCACAATCCAGCATATTTAAATACTATGGTCCAAGCCAAACGCCATTCTATATAGTTTTTACCTCTGGATATCAGTTTTGATAGTGAAGCCGGGTCAAGTTTAAAAGTAAAGACCTTGTTGTCCCCGACTTTATTTAGGTTGTAATATTCTTGAAGAGAGTTTCTCAAGATTGTGAAGGTGGTGATGTGTTATATTAACACAGTGAGACAGTTGGGAGAGAAGAACCAGTTGGTGTAAGCAGGAAATGGAGTCCGGGCTCATAACCTGTTGGAAACTGTTTTGAAAAAGTGAATCGTATTGTTTTAGAATTGAAGTTGCTACAGGATATAAATATAAAGACATCTTATCTATGGTACACTAGTCTGTACTAGGTAATCTCCACCAGTCATGAGGGATGGTACCTTCCAACAAACTAGACGTCTTTGACTCAAACAGCGCCAAACCCAGGGCGATGCTGCATTCAGAAGAACCAGAAAGCAGTTATCTCGCCTCTGACGAGCTCGAAAGATCTGTAAAGCTGATCTAGATTAGTTAATTAATCTATATAACCCATTACACAGCGCACCTCCAGAGACTTAAATCACAGAGCTTGGGCTTGATTGCACAACTCGTATATTACGGGCAAATCTTCACAACAGAAGATATGCAGGCCACTATAAAAAGCCGCCTGTGCCTGCATTATCTGCAAAGAACAAGCAGTTACATGCAGAATACGGCCAAGATCATATAAATAAGACAATCTGAGACTGGTGGCAACATATCTATTTCATAGACAAAGCATACTTTAACTCTATAGATCTTGCATATCAATCACAGTACGAGACCTGTTAAGTTGGAGCATTACCAGTTAGAAGCTTACATGAGATTCTAAAGACCTCACTCAACGTCACCGTCCATGTTGCAGCTAGAGTCTCATATAACTATAAGGGAGTCTTCACCTTCTATCACAATCCACAGGAGCCAACTGAGAAGGTTTACAAGCCTTGTAGACCTCGTAAATCATTGGTTGAAACGACATAACAGCATCTAGAGGTGATTGCAGCTTGGCTTGATGGTGGTGAGGATCCAATCAAGATTAAGACTCAGGGCAACTTAATGACTTAAGTATTTTATGCTGAAAACATACTACCGCAGTATATTGAGCATATTAAGTGCTTGGAGGCAAAATAAAAGCATCAAGTGCTCTTTCAAGAAGATGGCGATCTCCCTATCTCCCGTCTTCGCTCGAAGCTCATATGTGGAGCAACGGAGTTTGACCATATTGATTTTGGGAAGGATGAAGTGCATTCAGTGCTTGGCAAGAATATGCCGGAAATAGCGACTCTAATTGTGAAAGCAACTGTATACTTAGCCCTTGATAAAATATGAAACGGCCTCCCTGTGACTGTATGTATTGTTACTTGTTCCTTTTTTAGTATGAAAAAACGTTTTGGCCTGCAGTAGCGTGACCAAGGGTCTAATAATAGACTTTTGGGTACTTAAGCTGTATATGATGGGGACTCACTCCGTTTCAGAAGACAGTCCAGCTGAAAGGGGAAGCTGTCTTGTCGCAAAATGAAGCGTTGTAATCACACTGAGTGGTTGAGTTTGCATGCAAACGGAGCAAATTTGTCGTTACATGAATCAGATCGCGTTCAGGCTGTGATAGCTGATGTTGCAAATCCTGAGTTGCAGCGACCTGGTCTGATTGTATTTCTGGGTAACGTATCGAAAGCTGTCGCGCTTCGCCAACTATTTGGTCTAAAAGCCAAGCAGGCTGGCAATAGCAGATCCATAGGGGAGGTTCACCTTCACATTGATTCTTCAACTGTCAGCACTGATCGCCCCCTCTTACTCGCGGATGGAGACTTCAGCTTGCGTCACACCCGGTCAATAAGTTCTCGATTTGAGAAGTGTCATAGCACAACTCATCACTCACTTCTTCAACCACATACTTCAAGCTTAAATGATGTTGCTAACGCATTATTTTATAACTTATTGTATCCATTCACTGATATATTCTGTTTCTTCGCCTCTGACTTGGGTGGTTTTAGACAGATCTCGCGTCGTATTGCAGCTTGGATTGAGACGGAGAGCTTCACAAATCTCCCATCATGTACGAATCCAAAAGTAATTATAGTTACTGAATCGGTCTCTTCTACTCTGGACTATGAGAAAAATGCGAAAACTACATTTTTGTGGTTTCTGAGACAGGAAACTCAGAAGAACGTGTCTACGTACGTGTCCTCGATCGAAGTCGTCGCTCTACTTCCGGAGGGAAGAGTATCCCCAGAGTCTCGGTACAGGCGTTTGAAAGAACGTCTATTAGACGGTTGCGACGAAGTAAGGGGACAAAGAGATAAAGCATCGACACTCTTCTCTACTACTCATTTTGCGGCGTTCTTGAATTTAGCCTGTGGCCACTTTTGTCATAACCCTACTACAGCGTTTAATTTCATCAAAGCAGCTCGCACACAAAACCCTATATCAGATCATTTGACTGGGCATATTTCTACATTCCTAGGCCGCACCAGTCACGAAGAACTTGACGGTTTTGTCGCTAAGACAATCGGATCCAGTCTGCTTCTTGATAATTATCCACCAGGCTCTCACAGTAAGATAATGGTTCCATCTGATGATACTGTACGTGTTATTAATAAGACTAGAGTTTGACCCCAGAGTTGTGTTTGAAACGTTATATCGAGAACAAATCTCGAATGCAATTAAACAAAATAAAATATCATTTCAGAATATGGTTGGGCTTATTGAAAGGCATATGTCGGAATTTTTTGATACCTTGATTCAGACTGCAGTAGTAACAGCAGCAGACGTACATCGAGGACAATTGGAGCGATTCCGTATTAATTGGAGCAAAATTCACAGCACCAGCACATGCTTGTCGTGCCTTCGACGACGACCGCAATATGCACTCCCCTGCAAGCACTCGGTTTGTGAAAACTGTGTATTAGTGTTTGGCGACTGCTGCATAGACGATCCGTGGATCTACAAAATACAAAACTGCTGGTTGTGTGGATTTGACACCAATGGCCAGGTATTAATCCGAATGCAGCCTCCTACTGCTGGTGCCGGGATATTATGCATTGATGGAGGAGGCGCGCGGGGGATCATTCCCTTGCAGCTACTCCAACGAATTAAAGATAGTATTGGGCTTCCAATACCATTGCAAAGGTTTTTCAAGGTAGCTTTTGGCATCAGTTCAGGTAGGTCAGCAAGTGTTTTGAAAAGGTCCATTGACAAATCCAGGTGGCCTCATAGTTCTGGCACTTTTCAACGGCGGACTTTCGGTCGAAGAATCCTCTAGGGTTTTTGAAGAGCTGTCCCGGTATGCATTCGCCCCACGCAAGGTATTCAAGATTCCTTTCCTTTCTAGCGTCCAAAAAGCGGTGCTTTCATACATTAGGGACAGTTTATACCCGGCCGAAAACATCGAGACCCCTTTAAAAGCTATATTTGGCACAGATAAAAGTATCATTGATTGTTCATACGCCAGTTTAACGGGAACTAAGGTAGGTATACCAGTAGCCACAGCTGATGAAAGGCCATCTTGCAAGATTTTTACGAACTATAACGGCGCAAATGATCAAATAGGTATAATAATTAAGTCGCTTCCAGTTTGTTGAAGCAACAGGCTAATTACACCAGATACGCGATTGATCCGTCCTGGAGATGATTACGGACGGGTCCCACTGTGGGAAGTGTACGAATAGCCTGTCACTGATGAAAATCTGAAAAAGCTAATAGCCTGCTAGGGCCAGAGCGGCATCTGCTGCCCCTGGGTAAGCCTGCTTCTCTTGGGTAAGTCTATACTGACGCACTCGCAGATTCTTTCCCCCGAAGCATATTCAAGGAGTGGGAACCTTCCAGGATGCGGGCCCCTTGGAGAACAATCCTATTGTCTCCGCATTGACAGAATTCAAAACTGTTTTCCCCTTAATCAAGAAACCGGATTTCGTTGTGTCGCTAGGAACGGGTTCGGCTCGTGTGGATAAGACAAATCCTACTGTGGTGAGCCACCTTAGATTCTGGCGTAATAGAACTCTCCTGCGGTTATATCGACTTTTTATGGAAAAAACCCGTGATAGATTGCTTACCTACGCATTTAAACCGGACCCGGGCGTTCATCGGCTGGATGTAGATTTTGAAGGTGAGGAACCTAGACTGGATGATGTCCACAGTATATCTGCACTCAAGTATAAAGTGCTATCGGACCTTTCTCTTTCTTCTGTTATTGATGTTGTTGCACGTAAATTAACAGCATCCCTATTTTATTTCGAGCTGAATGCCGTACCTGAACGTATTAATGGAGACTACAGGATACGTGGCAGTATCCTCTGCACTCTTCGTTATCCTGATCCAGCATATAAGTCGCTATTAGAAAAATTCGCGCATGACTCGGTAGAGTTTTATATTGATAACATTCCACTTCCTGGTGACTTTAAGGAAGATCTCAAGTTTTACAATAGTAGACATTTCCGTAGACTAGTCTCGTTCAATGTTGCGGACGATTTCTCAATTAGGCTAAGGAAGCCTTCAATGAGTCCAAACCATATAAGTGGATCACCATTTTCGATCAATTCGCTTTTGATATCTCAAGGTTTCAATAATGTTTTCGGACGAAGCGACTACAGAAAGAGGAAATTCATAGGTGATGATACTCCGAGTAAGAAACGTCGTCTTTGATTGGCTATAAATTTCAATATTTATATGTTGGCTAGAGATATCTCACAAATATTTAAAATCCATCCCGAACTAATCATTTTGAGGAAAAAGAGTAAATTTCATGGAATCACATCCACCAACGTATCCGATATCAAGGACACGGTATCAACCTTACTGTTCAAGCGTTCCTCCGTTATAACGCATTTGAAACGGACGAGATGAAAGACTTCGGCACCTCAAGCGACTCAAATGAAGACTTATAGAAGTAACGGAATACTGTCCAGGTCATGGGTGCTCTAGGAGAGCTTCAGAATATGTTCATGTGCCAGTGTCTCTCTCACTCCACATTCGCACCTATCATCCTGGGTTTTGCCAAACCTTTTCCTATAGCTCCTTAGCTATGAGTGGCCTGTATGTAGTTGAGCTAGTAGGTTTGCTTGAGGGCGCGTTTTTGTGTCATAGAGCTTGCGCACATGTTTCCCTGGTAAGGAAGGGTCAATTTTGCGGAGATGTTCGCCCTTTGGCGAGCCTTTCCATTCTTCTCTCTATTGCTGTTGTATCAGATCTTTAACCAGCTTCTTCTATGAGGAAAGTAGTGGGGCGAAGTGGTGTTCTAGTAGCCTTTCCACAGCATCCTTGGCTTCCTGGTCCGCGAGCTCAGTTCCCTGGATGCCCTCATGCCCTGGGATCCAGGCAAGGTGTATGTTGATGCTGTATCCCTTGCTAAGGCGCTCAGCTTCTATATTAATCTTTTGAGTGATATGCTACGCCATCTGCGCCTATAGGTTAGCTATTGTTTGTAGTGCCACCCTAGAGTTGCTTTAGATAGTATAATGGTTTTATGCTTGCTTCTATGTAGCAGTATTCTAAATGTAGTCCCTATAGATCATATGTAATACGAAGAATATTACAATCAGTTCAGCAGCAAAAATATTCTAGCTGGTATTCGGGCCTACACTAACATAAATCTTATGCCTAATATTTTGCTTAGATCCTAGTGTAATTACTGCTGTGCCAAGTTCCCCTTCTTTTCCTGAGCCATCTGTGAATATTACTGAATCAGAGTCAGCTAAGACCAGCGACTTGGTCGTCATTTTGGCTTCTTCTCTGCTATATATTGTTTTTATTGTTGTGAAGGGTGTTCATCACTATAGAGGGAGTGGTGCTAGGTAAATAATTTCAAGTTTCTTAAACAGCCTGTTCTCTGTCGCTGTTGCTATTGTAAGTATAAATAGGCTTCACATTATACTATAGGTTGGGGCTGGCGTGGTTGGATGGACAAGCGGCCAGATTGGGTGGTTAGTGGGCAGTATCTTAAGTTTGCCTAGAATATTTAGGGCCCTTTATCTGAGCTTAAGGTGTATTGGGAGAAGGCTTGATTTGATCTTGAGCGCGTCAGTGGAAACTGTACAGAACGCTGAGATGGCTTTGATCACTGCTATGCATTAGATCTTCCAGAGCACTGTCGTCTGCCATACTCTTCCTTGTCTATACCACACTATTGAGGCGTAGTCGAGCTTAGGTAACACGCATGCCTGGTATAGCTGCCGCACTTGTTTTAGTCTTAGGTGATGAAGTCGGCTTATGCCTATACACATGTTGGTTGCTCGCTTGGATACCCTCTGTGTATGGGCTCACTATCTGAGCTCTGGGTTAAAGATTACTTCTAGGAGCTTGACATTGCTAGAGGGGGAGATCTCCTGGCCGTTCATGATGATTGGACTAGTTATTTGCTTGTTTCAGGAACGAGTGAAGTGTATCAACTCTGTTTTCCTGACTTTAAAGGTTGACCCAGTCTGATCGGCCTATTTATTGATCCTAGGAAAACCTTCTACTTAGAACTTTTGGGTATTTTCTTCAGCGCTGGGTCTGTAGTGCTAGTGGAAGTAATCATCAAGAAATGCCAATACACCACCTGCATCATCTACAGTTTGGTCTACTAGCTTCTGGTTGTAGATTGTGTATAGAATAGGTGAGATTGGGGAGCCCTGTGGTAATCCTAGGTAGGCTAGGAAGTTCGTGTCTGAGCAGTAGCCGTCAAATCTGATGCTTGCCCATCTGTCTTTCATAAAGCTGTTTATCTACTGTCGTGCTACTGCTGGTATCTCTATTATACAGAGTATTTGGTTCATGACTAGGCGATTGACGCTGTTGAAGGCGCCTTTAATGTGAAGGGCTAACAGTGTCACTACTTTGTTCTGTCTCCATGCTTTCCATATTGCGTCAACTAGGATAAGGAGTGCCTGTTCAGTGGATTGTCCAGGCCTACCTCCAAACTCTGTACTTGGGAGAAGGCTGTAGCACTCTACATAGTATGACATTCTTCTCACGACTGTTGCTTCTAGGAGTTTGCCTAATATGTTGAGTAGAGAGATGGGCCTGTACGCGCTAGGTTGCGTATAGTCTGGCTTTCCTGACTTGCGCAGGACTGCAATGGTTGCCGTTCTCTATGACCTTAGGTGGTGTCTGAGGCGAAGTGCTGCTTCAAATAGGGTAGTAATAATAAGTGATATATATTTCCAGGTCTTCTTCCACACGACATATGGTAGCCTATCATCTCCTGGGGCGGATAGATCCTTTGTTGTGACCAACGCGGCATGGATCTCGTCCTCGGTGATTGGTTCCCAGGGCAGTCCAACCTCCGCTATGTCTTCATTGTTAAAGGACAGTGTTGATGTAGGTGTAGGTGGGAAGAATGATTCTATGAAGAGCTTGGCCTTATCCTCACTTTCTATCGCTTGCTGCTCTCCATCACACAGTAGTGGAGTGTTTGCATATTTAATACCTTGTTCAGCATATTTTGCAGCCTTCTATAGAAGGTTCCCGTCTACAGCTCGGTCGAGGAAGTCTTTCCAATGTATGGATATAGCTCATTCAGTGGCCTTCACCCATTCCTTCCTGCGACCTTGCATTAATACAAACAGTTCTTGGGTGACATGGTGCTCGCGGCTTAGTCTGGCTGTGGATGTTTGCCACTTTCGCCGTGTTTTATTGCACTGTCGTTGCTTCTCTTTCAGATCTGGGGTGAACCAACGCTTGGAATATAGGCGTCGCATTATTAGGTTGCCAACGCTGTCTCAGTCTGTCTGCTCGTATATACAGCGTGGTGGTTTTTCCTCTCTCTGTGGAACAGGGAAATTCCATTCTGAAACAATGCTGTGATGGTTGGATCTGTAGTTTTTATGGTATATATTACTTAGAGTCAGGTCAAGTGTGGTTCTACTCCCTAGCCGAGTCATAGTCCAGCAAGTTGGTTCGCCTCGTTGTAGTTGGTGGTATAGGCTCTGTTCCTCCATGAAACTGAGGAGGCTGGCTGCTTCTCCTACTCTATATGGCTGGATGTTGTCACCTCCCCATAGTGGATCTTGCCGATTGAAGTCTCCACCTATTATTAGCTTATAAGTATCTTCTGGGGTGGGAGAGTTCTTTGCAATGGTGCTATTGATGGCCTCTAGGACGGCTTGCATTTCAGCCTCTGCTACTTCGCGGGTGCTCCCAATAGGCGGAATGTAGGCTGAGAAGATCATGACTGGCCCTGCTGGCGTGCTAACTTGTATTCCATTTATATCAAGGTTGTTGCACCGGAGTTGTTGATGTGCCAGAGGTGCAAGTCGTTTGTTGACGTATATGAGGCTGCGGCACCGTCCTTCTCTGTTTGATGTTGGTTGGTATAATTACCAACATCGGAGTTGTGTGTGTGTTTTGTAGTATAAGATTTAACTTAGTTGATAAGCTCTTCAAACAGGCTCCTATCGATGCTGGTTGTCTTTGTTTTGCCCTTAGACTGCTGGCTTTGGACTAGCTTCTGGTATGTTTCTAGGAGGCGGATAGCAGCATTTGCTCCTCCTTGGTCCTTCTTTTTGGATGTTGTACGTGTCTTCCCCCAGTGTTCACTGTACTGGGGTACGCAGTACAATACGATCACCGATCACCGCGATGAGGCATATCAGGCAGTAAGGCATGGGCTACAGTAATTCCAGCATGCTGACACAAAGCTCAGCTTAGCTTTGCTTAGCTCGGAATAAGCTCATGCTGTCATACAGTATCATCTGGGGGATCACGCCCCCCCGGTAGATCTTTCCGCATGCTTGCGGGGTTGATTCCCCATGTGGACTTCTAATCGCGTTCATTGTCTTAGCTGTATTCTATTGGATTTCTGCTATCTGTTCCCTCCATTACAATTTGGCGTCCATGATGACCCCTAGGTATTTGCAATTACTCTACATCTGTCTCGATGCCTTTCATTAATATATCACAGCTATCCGGGATCGGAATTTTACTTAAAGAAAAGAGCTGGAAGGATTCTTGTTTTTCGTGGCTGCGGAAAACAACCACTGTGTTACATGCACACCTGAACGATGGGCTTCCAAAATACCACCAAGAGAAGAATCTTTCAACCAACAGCAAATGCCTCCAGCCCAGAATTGCAAACATCAACTGTTGCGTATAAGCCAATAAGTCTGTCAAATGTTCTTGGTGCATCACAAAATTCAGCATCGAGCCCAACGCACCCATCCGCATTGGCAATTTTTGCGGCACATTTGGTCCGTATGTAGCAATCATCTTCTGTTATGCAGCAGTTATATTCGATTCAACAACAAAATACAGATAAAAAAACAAATTTTGAATTATTTCAAATGCAAACATCCTTACAAGCGACTAATCCTAGTCGGAACTTTACCCTGGTTCCGATGCTACGGGGAACAAAGCATCTGGAATGAGCTATCTTTCATCATTGTAAGGGCGTACAGGTCGTGCTCAAGGGGCTCGAAAAGATCAAGGCTGCCAATCCGGAGCTTCTCTAGGGGCATTGGGCTCGGGATCCGAGTCACAATCGCGGCTTGGTTCGGTGTCAGACTGAATTAGCTCGCTGGACACTTTGGTCCCATCTCTCGCACACGAGTACTGATGTTCGACTGTTTGAAATTCAGGATCCATAACATAGTTTTTTAACTGGTCGACCAGAATGGTCGATGTTTTCTTGATTATAGGTATTTCAACACCTATTGAGCTTAACTGTTCTTGGGTGCTGGAAAAATATGTTTCTATTGATTCAACTTGTTCCACGAACACGCGATAAGTCTGAACAGCTTTATAAGCGTCTTCTTTGGACATCTGAAGAAAATTGTCTAGAGATATTAGAATTATTTGCTTGATGGGTTGGATTATACCTACGCAATATGTTTGCCATGCCTTCACTCACGGCTCTGAATAATGACAATAAGTCTAGAACCAGAAGCCTGAATGCCGCAAGAGATATAGCGTTCTCAGATTCAAAGGTGAAAAACTGATAATCGTATTAGGTCTTTTACACGAAGTTCACCAGTAGAAACCCACGTTGCATCTCAAAAGAGCTTTCAGCAACTCCTGTAGATTTTCAATTCCACTTATCAAGCCGCCATCTACACCGAGACTTCTTACATGCGATGAGTTTGCTCGTATGAAATCAAAATTTGTTAGCGAATATGAGGTTACCCGCTGAATAAGATATTCGCTATAGGTATTGATATTGCGACCTTGTGCTTTTCCTACACCACACGCAGTCTTGATCAGCGATTTTGTTCAGTGTGCGATTCCAATTTTGGGAGCTGCCATATGTATTGAACTGTTTGAGAACTTTTCATACCTTCTTCAAAAACAATGTTTTCTAGTAGGTTGTGTGAGAGATACGGCATCACCACGTCAGGCTCACCTTCCCTAATCATTAAATGAATTATAATAAGCGATTTGAACACGGTCATCCACTCTGGCCGACACAGGCGTTTCTGCAGCAGCTTGTTCACATCAATTACCCCTTGCTTACTAGCGTGTGTTGCTAGAAGAATAGACTCTATGTATTTTGCATTCGGTGGCTCAATCTATTGGGAGCATGCAAGTTAGCTTTGAGCTATTGAAAGGATTTATCAACGTACCTTTGCTTTAGTAGCATGTTTGATCGACTTCTTCACTGCCGATTTTCGCGACTGAATCAAATCTATAATAGAGCGGCGCATCTCCGAGAGTGAACATTTGCTGTAGAATTCAACTCTCTATACATAATGCCATGCTTTATAAAGAATTTGCCTTTTATTATATCATCATGGCTATTTATTCTCTAACCGGGAGTCAAAAATAGACTATTTCCTAAATTTATCAACAAAATTGCCGAGGATTCCAACCCCATAAGCCCAATTGTCAAATAAGGTGAAAACATATAGTGTCATAGTCATTGTGAAGCAATAAAAAAGAAAAATTATATCCGAAGCTAAGCAAGGAAAGAATTAAAAGTAATGTCTATTTATGTGCTTAATGTGCAACAGGGTGGCAAAGTCGCATCTGTCACCTCCTCGTGGTGCCACCTGGTGAACTCAGTCTGGGGCTTGCTCTTATCTGAGGCTAAACAGAGCGCAATGTCAAAAAGGAGGGAGTACCAAATCCTCATCTATCTGGTGTTGTCTGGCAATCAGCGCACGCCCACAACTGATAGAGCCTCTCATGACATCCAATCTACTCAAGCGCTATACTCTTATAGGAGAGTTATAGAGGAGGGACTTGGCAATGGTTATGCTAAGGCAAATGTACAGGTTAGACGTTCTATCTTAGGAGGACACATGTCATCTTACTAGCATTAGAAAGTCTGGCATAGCCCCAACCGGGATGATTCTGGGTCTTACCAAACCTCTCTCAGTAGCTTTTCAACCATAAATGATCTCTGTAGGTATTTGGGTTGATAGATTCTCCTGAGGGTGCGTTTTAGTATCACTTGGCTTGCGTATATGTTTCTCTGAGATTCCCTCGTGACCTGAGATCTAAGCAAGCCGTATCTCCATTGTACGCGCCTGAGTTGCATATGCAGTCTCTGCGAATCATATGGTGTGCGAAGAATATTGTACATTGGTTACATCACTCGTTATTACAATGTTCACAAGCTGTTCTTGAGCGGCGTTTTAATCCCAGTATCTCATACGCTCGGATCGAGCGCCGATATGGACGGTCAAGGCTACATTTTGGCGGCTGGTACCTCTTCCGGGTCAACTGGTGCCATTTGCAGCAAAAACCAGCCTTTTTGAGTTGGCTGCGCGTGCTCTTCACCTTTGTCCCACTCAATAGGGACTTTATATAAGCTATTCAAAGACCAATTGCTTCCGTTGTCAAATGACAATTCTATTACCGATGTACCATAACTCCACTAGAGCCAATTTTAGCGCTTGTGCATCCCCACCATCTTTCCAGGCAAATCTTCATCAAGCAGCTAGCAGTAGGGCTAGGCCCGCCGAGCAACTGTACTACAAGCCGTAGCAGTACAGGTAGTGCTACAAGCCGTAGCAGTACAGGTAGTACTACAAGCCGTAGCAGTACAGGTAGTACTACAAGCCGTAGCAGTACAGGTAGTACTACAAGCCGTAGC